AAACCCGAAAGAGTGCACACAGGCCTTCTGTGACGGGATCCATACAAGCACAAGCTTGATGAATGACACAGAAGATCAGAACTTGGAAGAACTCCAAAACATGTCCCTGTGTAATGATCCCAGTCAAGCAACAACAAAGTCGAGCGCCCCCTTTTCAGATCACGCTTCATTCCTTTGTTCTTTGGGTGACTCGCAAACAACTGTATACTGTCCCCCCATAACAAGTGAGGTTAGAATTAATGGAACTACAATCACCGATGCAGTTTTAGCTCTTTGGTCGGAGAAGTCTGCCATCAGTCAGACCTTATTCGACGAGCTTCATCAAAGACAACCCTGTCCAACGTTCGTTCAGAAGAGTCACCGACTCCTTTCTGCTGATAGACCTCAGGTGCCGGTAAAGGCCGTGGGTGTCTGTGCTATGACAGTAACCATTGGAAAAAGGGAATTCCTGCATTTCTGGAGCGTAGTTCCGGACCTACCTAACCAGCTTTTCGTTGGGGCAGACATATTAATCAGATTAGGAGCCCAAATAGACATGTTAAACCATGTTATTTGGACGCACGCGAATATCTCAAACTTCCCGCTCCTCGCTAACCCAGAACATATGCGCTCAGGACAAACCATCCCTCAAGCATGTCAGGTAGCGAACGAATTTGACCTAGTGATCCCTGCTAGAACAGCTGGATTCCCCCTCAAGCTGGTCATTTTGAAAGGACAAGGGCTCCCAAGCTCACAAGCCTTCTTTCAACCCTTGCCTCCATTCCTGGATTTTAATTTAACAGTTTGTGGCACCCCTTTTCTTGAACTGAACAATCGTTCAGTCTACATTCTGGTACAGAATGTGACCAACTTTCCACTGTCTATCCCAGCCCGCTGTCCATTAGGTCTATTGATAGATGAGTCATTCCATGATTTTGAACTGACCATCCCAGTTCTGGGAGAACTACCGGTTTCATTAACCAGCCCAGAGGATTATGGATTTGCGTTCTCCACCTCTCCGAACAGCTGGATCCACATTGAGCCACACAACTTATTGTGGAATGAACACTCCCTTATGCCTGAAACTGATTTATCAGAAGACCTAATGGTATATGCCCTGTATATTGCCCTACTGGTAGTGCAACCAGGAGACAGCTCTGAGGCAGACGTTGTGAGTTCTCTGCCAGAAGAACCGTATACAGGTTTTGAACTAGAGGTTCAACAACAGCTTACTAAAGCTGATAGCCTGACGTTGGACACTCAAAAACAACAACTCCGTGAGCTGTTCTACGATTTCAAACATATTTGGGCACAGGATTCAAACGATTGTGCAGTCACAAATCTCCATACCGTGAGAATCCCAACTAATCCTCGGGCACCCCCGGCATTTGTGCGCCAATATAAGATCCCACTAGCTGCATATGATTCCATAAGAGAAATCATAAAAACTCTGCTCAAAAAGCAGATCATACGAGAATGTAATTCAACCTACAATTCTCCCCTGTGGCCAGTGCTTAAACCAGGCAAGTGGCGTCTTACTATTGACTACAGACAGCTCAATAAATAGGTTCCACTGTCGAGATGGCCAATGATCCACTTAGACCAGGAACTCTCCAAGGTGAAGAATGCAAAGTTCTTCTCCACGGCTGACGTGGCTAGTGGATTCTGGACAATAAAAGTTGATCCTTCTGACCAGTACAAACTGGCATTTTCCTTTGATAACCGGCAGTTCACTTGGAACAGGTGTCCTTTCGGTTATTCTAACTCACCAGCCGAGTTTAACATCTTCCTGCACAAGGCAATGGGCGATGCAGCTGCTCGTGGGAACTTGATCTACAGTATATTGACGCCATTGTGATCAGGTCACAAACCTTTGAAGACCATCTGACAGAAATACGTCACAACTTGACTCAACTTGCTAAGGCAGGGGCAAAGTTGTCCATCTCCAAGGGACAATGGTGCTGTCAGAAGGTTGAGTATGTTGGCCGACTTGTGGGACCTGATGGTATTGAGCCCCAAACAGGAAGAGTCAAGGCTATCCAGGATATTAAAGCCCTGGCCAACGTTTACGAACTAAGGAGCTTCCTCGGTATCTGCAACGACTCTAGACAGTTCATTAAGGATTACACCGAGATTTTATAGTTTTATAGTTTCTTATTGTGAAAATGTGTTTCTAAACAGTGTGGTCTGTCTAACCATGATGATGAGCTATGACATTTTCTTCTGAGCAGGAAACTGACAGAGAGAGCTGATGTGTTCATGTACTCTTTGTCATTGATGGCTGTTCTCTACTTCTAACACAAGCAGAGAGGAAGAGAATGTGTTCAGAGTGGTTCTCTTGGAGGTGTGAAAGTTATGAGTTTGTATAAGCAGAAGTTGCTTATCTGTTAAGTTGGTTTGTTGTATTTGTTTGATCTTATTTGAATGTTATTCCAGAGTATAAGGCACAGAAGCAAGAAAAGCATAATAGAGAAGAAGGAAACATATGTCGCACCAGTGTTTTCTAGTGGTTGTCAGTGTAAATATAACGAACATGTACATTTGCAGTGAAACATCAGTAGCAGATACTAGGACACAAGCCTCGAGTGCCCTATCGCAGCCTTCAGCCTGAATGTAACAACAGGAATTTTGTATTTTAATATATAAGTTGCACCAAAGTCTGAGTCTCATTTTCCTCATTCATTAACAATCAAAATATGTTTTTCACCTTTTAACTCACTCTACTAACTTACTGGTGTATTTCTCTGTATATTATCTACTAAACTAACCTGTCAAACATCCTTTACAGTTTTTACTCTGTTTAGCAAAATGGTACAAACCCTTGTCCATTTCCTCACTATCAATCCTTCAATACAACTCCTATTAAGAAATTTCTTGCTGGTCTCTTATCAACACCGAACAAACAAATAATTACGTTAAAAATTGCAATATTTACTGTCGGTAATAGTCCATATATTTAGCTAAGTGGGTAGATAAATCAGAATGACAAATATGATTCAGTTAGGACTCCTGACTGTTGAAGAAACCTCTCAGTCAGAAGGACAGTCATTAGCATGGGATCTTGTGTTCACTCAGGCAATCGTCAAGACTATACTTTCAGGGATCATTTTTATAGTTTCTAATTGTGAAAATGTGTTTCAAAAGAGTGTGGTCTCACTAACCATGATGATGAGTTATGACATTTTCTTCTGATCAGGAAACTGACAGAGAGAGCTGATGTGTTCATGTTCTCTTTGTCATTGATGGCTGTTCTCTACTTCTAACACAAGCAGAGAGGAAGAGAATGTGTTCAGAGTGGTTCTCTTGGAGGTGTGAAAGTTATGAGTTTGTATAAGCAGAATTTGCATATCTGTTAAGTTGGTTTGTTTTATTATTTTGATCTTATTTGAAAGTTATTCCAGAATTTAAGTCACAGTAGCAAGAAAAGCATAATAGAGAAGAAGGAAACACATGTCGCACCAGTGTTTTGAAGCGGTTGTCAGTGTAAATATAACGAACATGTACATTTTCAGTGGAACTTCAGTAGCAGATACTAGGACACAAGCCTCGAGTGCCCTATCGCAGCCTTCAGCCTGAATGTAACAACAGGAATTTTGTATTTTAATATATAAGTTGCACCAAAGTCTGAGTCTCATTTTCCTCATTCATTAACAATCAAAATATGTTTTTCACCTTTTAACTCACTCTACTAACTTACTGGTGTATTTCTCTGTATATTATCTACTAAACTAACCTGTCAAACATCCTTTACAGTTTTTACTCTGTTTAGCAAAATGGTACAAACCCTTGTCCATTTCCTCACTATCACTCCTTCAATACAACTCCTATTAAGACATTTTGTAGAGGGTTGGAAATTATAGATAACCAAATAATTACGTTAAAAATTGCAATATTTACTGTCGGTAATAGTCCATATATTTAGCTAAGTGGGTAGATAAATCAGAATGACAAATATGATTCAGTTAGGACTCCTGAATGTTGAAGAAACCTCTCAGTCAGAAGGACAGTCATTAGCATGGGATCTTGTGTTCACTCAGGCAATCGTCAAGACTATACTTTCAGGAATCATTTTTATAGTTTCTAATTGTAAAAATGTGTTTCTAAACAGTGTGGTCTCACTAACCATGAAGATGAGTTATGACATGGTTAAGAGTTAGGTATATGAAGTATGTAAATAACTGAGGACTAACGAGTTAAGGTGACCAGTTATTGAGGGAAAGTTGATTCTAAGCGCGAGTGTAAAATCGATGGTAAGCGGCTAATGCTAAGCGGACCCTTGCAAGTGAAGAAAGATGAGGTATGTTGATGTTTATTTTGGAACATGTTTTATTGTAGATGTAATTTTCTTTTTTTTATTATCTCTTTTCATAAGTTTTATCTGTACAATAAATTGATACTTACAAAGATACAATTATCTTCTAAACCAGGGAAAAGCTATTCTTAAGTGGCAGCTCAGTATAATTGAACTCTGCGGGAGGAAGTGCTTCATAAAGGATGATTGATTATTATTTATGATTGGTTTAGGGGAACAATAGCAAATAGTTATAGTAAAAATAGTTACTTCGTTGAAACCAAGATTGATTTACTGTTTTTTATGAATACAATACAATGTTGTATTATTGTTACTAAAATGTGGTTCTATAAATCTGTGCTGTGAACGGACAAGATTACCTGGATGTTATGACTAGTGTTGAAGTCATAAGGTCAAAATGAGAGATTTTGGATTTTGAAATGTTATATATGAGAAAGGAGAATAAATCCTGCTGCCGTGACGATAACATCAGTACGACGTGTACTTCCTTTATTTCTACTGCAGGAGAATAACTGGCCACCTCCCAGCTACCAAGCGAGGGAGGCAACAATTTTGGGGGCTCGTCCGGGATTAGCACTTTTGTTCGGCAGGTGCTAATCATCCAAGAACTTTGGGATCCTGATATCCTATTCCTTGACGTCTGGTTTCCTGAGCGTGTGAACCGAGTGACAGAGGTGTCCAGAGGATGTCAGCCGTACAAGATCTATGCTGGGAAATTCAGCAGCTGCTTCACCAGCTAACCATGCTGCCAATTCAAGTCTGCTCTACAAAATTGCAGTGTCATGCAAAGATGAGATGGAGGAAGACTGGCCAGGTGAGGATGCCACTAATGCGGAACTCTTGGACTTCATTGTCGACTTTTTGAGAAGTAAACAGCTGAAGGGCCTCGAGGACCAAGGGATGGCTCGCCTGCTCATTCTTAAAGATCTCATTGATGAACTGCAAACACCACAACCAACTGCAGAAGGTGGAATAGCATCAGGTGAAGAGCATGCAGATTCAGAGGCCGAGACTGAACCAGTACTAGAAGTGGGAGCAACAGTGAGTACGACTGTACCCACAATGGTTGCGGGTCATGGAACTGGTTTGGTAAAATTATCTGATGTAGCCGCATTTTTACCTCGTAGAGAGTACAAAATTCACGGTGGACAAATTTCTGACCATGATTCTGACTTGAGTTTCAATAACCTGTGCAAACAAATTGATGAAGGTCTAGCTGAAGGGTTCACACCGGCTGAGGTAATCAGAACAGTACTAAAAATTACTAAACCTGGTACCTTCAGAGACATGCTAATTACTCAAGCTGGGCTAACAATAGATGAGCTGAAACGGTTTCTGAGAGTACATCTCAGGGAAAAAAGTAGTACAGAGTTGTTCCAGGAACTGAGCAATGCAAAACAAAATGACAGGGAAAGCCCACAATAGTTCATGTACAGATTAATGGTGTTGAAACAACGTGTCTTGATTGCTTCTAAACAAAGCACAGGACTCAAGTATGACAGCAACCTAGTGCGGGGAGTGTTTTTACACTTACTTTACCAGGGAATGCATGAGACATTTTCATATATTAGACAAGACATCAAAGCTCACATGACCAATATGAGTATCACTGATGATTTCTATTTAGAACTGATAACCAGGTCCGTTAGCGAAGACAATGAGAGACAGAACCGTTTGGGGCAGACACACAGACAAAAGGCTGTCAGTGTCAATGCAGCACAGCAGGACCGGCAGAATGATGGCCAGATGCAGGTAGAGGTCCAAGCTAATCGTACTGCCATACAGGACCTGACAGCACAAGTCTCCTCCTTAACCAAGAGCCTAGAGAAAGTCCTCACAGCTGCAGTGAATGTGGCGCCAAATGACACACATGTAACTCAACCACGCCCAAAGCAGCCTTCAAAGTCAGAAATCAGAGGGAAATGTCAACTGTGTGTAGCCCAAGGAAATGATCACTGTACCCATTGCTTTCGATGTGGACAAGAGGGACACAGAGCTGTTGGGTGTCTTTTGAAAAATAACTTGCCGGGAAACGGAGTAAGGTCATTGGGAAGGGACCACCAGTGACTGAAATGAGTGCCCGGTCCCGTGTAAATGTAAATTCCCCTGCGAAACATGATCAGTCACCAACCACTCGGGCCCACCAATCACCCAATTCAGCAAAACTGAGGCGTGTAGCTAAATTGATTGGTGGAAGGTGTATGTTGAGCTGTCACCTAAATGGGGTTAAGGTGCAGATGTTGCTTGATAGTGGAGCCCAGGTCAGTATGGTGGGGAAGTCCTGGTTAGAACAAACGTTACCTAACGTCAAAATCCATCCCCTTAATAGCTTACTATCAGACCTCACGCTTGACATCACTGCCGCAAATGGAACAGCTGTACCATTCGAGGGGTGGGTTGAGGTACTCCTGGAAGTGCTAAGTGAAAACCATGGCAGAGTAGCAATACTAGTGCCACTACTTGTCAGTATAAATTGTGTAACTAGCCCTTTGCTAGGGTTCAATGTTATCGAGGAGATAATCATGGTAAATGAGCAACAGCCAGATGGTCTTGGATTGTTAGACTTACTCTCAGAAGCAATGAAGGTTCAAAGGCAAACCGTGGAAACACTTGTGTCTGTCCTAAATGAAACAACGTTTAAGGAAGAATCCACAAGTTCTGTCGTAAAAACTGGGAAGAGAGGACTCACCATCCAAAGGGGGCAGATCTGCGAGGTGAGATGTCGCTTTAGGTCGCCATCGAGGGAAGGGACTGCCTTATTTGAGCCAGCAATAGAGAGCAGTTTACCGGATGGGTTAGAGCTTTTTTCGGCTCTGGTTATTGTACCTGCGGGTGTTTCCAAGACTGTGAAAATTCCCATTCAAAACGTGACCCAACATGACATATTCTTACCTCCGAAAATAGTCCTGGGCTTTATTGGGGAAATCAGCGGCCTTCAGGCAGTGAGTATCCCCTCCAACACTCAGACCTCAACCTCCCAGACTAAAGACATGTTTTTCGGTACAACTCGAGCAGAAACAAGTGTAGACCACCAAAACGAAGACAAAGAAGCAGACAAAGCACCTTGCTCTGAAAATAAATGGCAACCCCCAGTAGATTTAGACCATCTTACTGAGGCTGAACAGGTGGTGGTTCGCCAAATGCTCTTTGAAGAGTCTGACGTGTTTGCGAGGGAGGAAGGTGACATTGGCTGTATTCCAAATCTGCAGTTAAAAATTCACACCACAGATGACAAGCCCGTTCAGAAATGTTACAACTCCATCCCAAAACCCCTGTATGCAGAGGTAAAAGAATACATCCAGAATCTTCTGAACCGAGGCTGGGTTAGAAAATCAGTGTCGGCTAACTCTTCTCCTGTTGTCTGTGTGTGCAAGAAAGACCACAGTCTTCGTTTATGTGTCAATTTCCTTGAACTGAACCGGAAGACCAGACCGGACCGGCATCCCTTGCCACGAATACAGGATATGTTAGACAGCTTGGGAGGGAATACATGGTTCTCTATATTGGACCAAGGTAGCGCGTACCATCAAGGTTTTGTAAGCGAAGAATCAAGGCACCTGACAGCGTTCAGCACTCCCTGGGGTCTGTATGAATGGATCCGCCTCCCATTTGGACTGATGTGGACAAATTTCTGACCATGATTCTGACTTGAGTTTCAATAACCTGTGCAAACAAATTGATGAAGGTCTAGCTGAAGGGTTCACACCGGCTGAGGTAATCAGAACAGTACTAAAAATTACTAAACCTGGTACCTTCAGAGACATGCTAATTACTCAAGCTGGGCTAACAATAGATGAGCTGAAACGGTTTCTGAGAGTACATCTCAGGGAAAAAAGTAGTACAGAGTTGTTCCAGGAACTGAGCAATGCAAAACAAAATGACAGGGAAAGCCCACAATAGTTCATGTACAGATTAATGGTGTTGAAACAACGTGTCTTGATTGCTTCTAAACAAAGCACAGGACTCAAGTATGACAGCAACCTAGTG